ATGCCATGAAGCAAAATTGAAAATATTCCCTCAAGTGTTGCCAGAGTAAAAAACTACTTCCTGTTTAGAAGAAATCCAAAATGGTGGCCAAACCACGTGACCAATCGTAAACATTTTGTCAAACATAAATGGGATTCATATATAGAAGCTAAATACTACATATGAGAGCATTCTGCTTGGTGGTTCTGAAGAAGAAGATTTTTGAGTGTTTTATGCCGTTTTTAGGAAAAACAAAATGGCGGGAAAAGTCACATGACCGCTAAAGTTTTTATTGCTGATATTTATTACACATGAGTTGTACTATATACCATAAAAAAATCTAAACGCCTAGACCCTCAGAAAGTGGTCAAACAGCCACTTCCGGTTTTATTTCAATCCAATATGGCTGCCAAACTAATTGTCCAATCGAAATTCTGAAAGCGTGTTGCACCAGTTCACATTATGGACTATCAGTATAGAGCATTATCAGACCATTCTGTTCAGCGGTTTTCTCAAACGGCTTGACGAAAAAAGTTACGGAAGAAAGAAGATGATGAAGAAGAAGAAAAAACCGGACAATAAGAATAGGGGCCTCGCCCTTCAGGCTTGGGCCCCTAAAGAAAGAAAAAACTGAACGATAATAATAGGGGCTTCGCCCTTCGGGCTTGGGCCCCTAAAAACCGGACAATAAGAATAGGGGCCTCGCCCTTCGGGCTTGGGCCCCTAATTAAAGCCGCAAGCGGCGTCACCGGGGCCCAAGCTATCAGACGAATTATGTAATTAAAGTGGTCAATGAATTGCCATAAAAGTACTTTGAATGATTTGTACAATGAAGGTTGACGTGCCGATGGTTCCTTCTTTTTACCTGGTTTGGTTATCGAGATATTTTTTTAGAATATGCAAGGAGCCATGTGCTTATGCATATATTAATTAGTTCACCTGACCATATATGTTCATCTGTTATTTTATTCAAATCTCTTGTTTAATGTCACCATAATTCAGCGAATTGCCATTAAAGTACTTTGAATGATTTGTACAATGAGGTTGACATGCTGATGCTTCCTTCTATTTACCTGGTTCGGTTATTGAGATACGGTTTTTAGAATATACAAGGAGCCATGTGCTCATGCATATTAATGAGGTTACATAATCATAAATGATATTCTCTTATATGAGTTAATTTTTTTGGGAGATGTCTTCATTATGGCACTGGTTGCATGTCTTGTTCTGCAACAGTGTTTCAGATATGACAATTATGCATATTAATGAGTTCACATGACCATATATGGTCATCTGTTATTTTAGCCAAATCTCTTGTTTAACATCATCATAATAACACAGGTTTCATCTTCCTACCTGCAACAGTGCTTGAGATATAACAGTTATGCATATTAATGAGTCCACCTGACCATATATGGTCATCTGTTATTTTATTCAAATCTCTTGTTTAACGTCATCACAATTCAGCAGGTTTCATCTTCCTAACTACAACAGTGCTCAAGATATAGCAGTTATGCATATTAATGAGGTTAGAAGCCCCCACCCCATGGGCGCGTAGCCACACAACCTAGCCATGTGACATTCAGGGAAAAGAATGCGACTCTTGAGTAGAATTGACATACACAATTTCAGCCAAACCTGACCAATACAACACATGAAATTGCACAAGTTTCATTTTCACATAATCCAAGATGGCGGCCAAACCACGTGACTTATCGAAAATATATTATTTTTCTCATATGTAGCAATGTTCAGGCATGTTATATTCAAAACGCAGTTAATCGGTTGAATCAACTCTGAGAAACTAATGCCCAAACTTTTGGTCAATTTTACCTAAAATCCAAGATGGCGGCCAAACCATGTGATTGATCTGAAATCTTTTTT